GCTTCCAATTTAAAATAGAGTATTAGTATTTCAGGCATATTTTAAAATTATTCCTAATGATATCAAGATCAGTTTTGCCATATACAGTTTTTAGATTGCTCAGAACTCTTGTTAATCGCACAAAGCAACACGAAATGGATAGGACAAACATCTGAAAGGAAAGTAATGACAGATATAAAGTGTCAGTTTATTATTGTTCAATTAGTCAATATTTTGCCAGTATGTCATATCCTTTCAGTTCTAACTTCTCAGGAAATATCTCCTGCATTAGCCACATGTGCTTTCAGTTTGATATACATTTGTGTCCCATATGTACACCACATAGCATCATCCTTTAATTACATACCCCTGTCATTAAATCAGCATTCAGATTGTGCTGGTGACACAAAGGCACAGCCTGCACTTTAGCTTTACACTCAGATGTATTCAAAATCTGATAGTAAATTCTAATACTATAAGTTGCAGAATACATCAGAAACTCTCTTTCCTTTTACAATTATTCATTAAGTCATGTCTACACTATAGAAGGTTACAGTGTGCGCTAGCTACAAAAAAAAATATGTACAACAAAATCTTTTTCTCATGGCAAAAGTCCAAAGCCCCATTAAAATACACTTATTATTTTCTTATGACAAAAACATCAACAGTTCAATGGGACTGTGAACCAGAGCCATGCTATGTGATGTTTCAACACCTCCACCATAAGCAAGCTAAGTATTTTATATTACATCACAACTTGTTGCAATGTAAAATTAAAGTCCCCTAGGGGAGAAAACAATGATATCAAAATAGGGACCACAGATCCTATGAAGCGTGTTACTCTCCAGGCAACGGTAATTTTACTGTTCAGATCCAAGCTCTTTAAACCTTTGGGATAAGGTATGGGGGGAGAGGGGTTAGAATAAGGAAAAAGCAACATCCAATCAGCAGGCCACTGCTTATCCAGTGTATGCAACTTATCTGTCCTGAAAATATTTGACATTAGCTGCCTCCACAGGGAAAAACTGGTGACAGCCTGTGTTGCGACATGGACAGAATCTAACCATAGTGAATTATAATCCTGTTTGGCAATACCTGACCAAACACTAAAAGAAATCAGCATGTGAACTTCACAAGCAGAGCAAAGGAGAATTTGGTCAATACTCTCATTCTGAATAGTAAATATTTTTCCTTCTCTTTGGTACCACCCACATCGAAGTTCCTGCATTTCTTCTAGGGCTAAAGAGCTAATTTCCAGACTGTAGGGGGTTTGTGTTGTGCTGCAAGGGCTCATTCATGAGACACATGAAGTTACCTAATGCTGTTGGCTACTTAAGCAGTGGTTTAGCTGCTCTTTGAAGATGGAAAGACTAGTATAAACTAATTCTAATATTCAAACTATGCTACAGTACAGCAGCCTCCCTCCAAACCATAAATTATCCTTTTTCAAATCATATTCAGAATGAATCCAAACAGTATGTGCTTTCAGACATTTTCAGACCATAGTGCCATTGAAATCTAGAGTATATTCAGAATGAATCCAAACAGTATGTTCTTTCAGACCATAGTGCCATTGCAAGCTAGAGTTGTCATAGTAGTATGTTTGTATCCATAGTTTGCAGAGTGAATTTCATGTTACATAATGCAACTATCTATTGGTTGGTTTACCATCTCACACTTTGAAAGCTGCTTACTTTCCATTTATATCAACATCCACACCATTTCGATGAAGCACGCAATATTGTAATAAATCAACTGACTCTCAGATGGAGAAATGGATACAGAATGTGCTAAAAAGACACAAAAGATGATACAATCAGCTCCTAGATGCCCCGACATTTTAAAATTAAAATTATTGTGGTACAAGAACAGATGTTTCCCAGCAGGGATAGAGTTTGCTCTTCACCACCATGTCCAGACCACCTCTGGGGCCCACCGAGCCTCCTAACCAACAAGTATGGTAGCTCTTTCCCAGGGGTTTAAGCAGCTGAAGTATGAAGGTGACTATTCAGCTCTACCTATTGATATTAAGAATGCATGGAGCTGTGCCTCCACACACCTCCATACATCTGAAAATGGTGTGGTGCTTATTCTTTAAGCACAAGAACAGATGTCAAAAGTGGAACCACCCACCTGGACTGAACAAAATTCTTACTGTAGTCTCTATAAGACTGAATGCCAGAAAGATATGATGAACAATCAGTCTATTTATGACAATATCTGCTTATATTTAATGCGAATAATTCTACCTGATGTAGGCACTCCGCAAACATAATCTTGTTGATATGTGATTGAATACATTCTGTCCATAGATAGAAAGGATGTGGCACTGTTCATACCCACCACCAACCACACATTGAGTTAACTTGCTCCTACATACACACAGGATGAAATAAACGAGTAAATTATTAAGGATATGCAGGTTTGTCAATGGGATACATGAATGGTTGGTTCAGAGACTGGAGAGTCCAATTATTCTTGCTAGGGATGAACCCTGGAAAGTGTTAGCTATCATGTCACTAGATAACACCATACTGACTACACATCTCCCAAAAAACAGTTGTGGTACTCAATAACGTGATCCTATCCAATATTCACTTGAGAGTAAAATTAAGCGTAACTCTGTTCATCTGTGTGATAAACAGCTGCACAGATTTCATTTATTAAGTTATGTTAAAATTTACTGGAGATTTCTGACATGAAAACACATATAAATTAATGAATCAAAACTCAAAGTTTTGACAAGACATTGCACTCCCATTTTTCTAATACTGATTCTGAAGGTAGTGCCAAGGGTGCTGTGTGACGGGACAAATTCATATGTATCAGAACAATTTTATTCTTCAGGGACCGACACCATGCCCGACTTGAGTAGCTCATATCCATTTGACAATAGGCAAGGACTGAGGAGTTATGTGGACATCTGCCAATCCCTTGATAACAGTTGCCAACAGATTTGTTGTCAAATGTCATCAATTAATGATTCAAATAAAAGTATAAAAATAGACATGCATTAAATATGTAACACAAAACAGCGATAGTGGAAGACTACACGAAGACACCTTGTCAATATGGCACAATTCTTTCATCATGCCCAGACAACTTGCCAAGCCATTGTAACATCAACAGTGTCTGTTGCAAACAGAGAAAAAGCAGAGTAAGATGCAAGTTCCTGCAGTTCTGCGAGTGTCTCATTTGTGTGGGCAAGATTCAGTATTGAAAGACACAAGCCGCCACCACTGTGGCACTGCTGTAACCTAAGATCAGTCATAGCATGCCATTGCTTTCACCCTCCGTCATAAGGAGAAGTGTGCAAGGGCTGAATTGTGTGCGGAAATATGTAAGTGTAACAGACTTTCAAACACCCGCACACAACATTTTTTATCATATCAGTTCTCTACCACAGGGTATCAACCATTAGTGACCTAGCTGCTGTGGCTATATGCAGTGTTTGTGTAAGGACCACTGTAGATGGAGCTGCCAGTAGTGGACGCCTCTTTCCTGTGTCGGCGGCGTGCCAGTAGAATCAAGATGGCAGCAATTACAGCCAACATGAGTACCAGGCCGGCAATTGCAATGCCAATGGCAAAGTTTCGTTGCGAGATGCAAATGCTGTTTGGGTCATCAGGTGTCTGAAAGATGTCATATATCACATATTTAAAGAATATTCACATGACTTGGAAGCAAAAACGTTCCCAGTGTCAATACAAGAAAGAATGGTTACTGAAATGATCATGATGAATTCCATACAAGGGACCATACAACAGGTGCAATGCTCAACTCCTCCCATATCTGTTGGCATGTCAGGATAAAGGAAAACTGGTTTGCCTGACTGATGTCCTCAGTTCATCCAAGCAAACACAAAGAATATCACAAACTAATCCAAGACTACTGTCGTCACCACCACCACATCCTTCCAAATTCACCAATTATGACTTTTTATTTAACACTACATTTCAAATAATAACTTAAAACTCCTCAGAACTGAAATTATGTTGACAATGTAACGTTACATAACCTCACTTCATTAAGCCTCATTACCCACTGCAACGTTATATATGCTGACACTGTTTCTCAGTCTTCTGAGCAATCTTCATGCTCTAGCATGAGTGAAGAACATCTTATGGGCCTACCCACATGCCTGTCTGCTGATTTTTTGCAACAATAGGATTGGAGGTCAACTTTTGGAACACCTTGTAAGACAATGATATCCAAGATTTTCCGCTGTTGTGTAACAATGGGACAGGTCCCGATTGGAAGCCATTGTTAACAATGGGATCCAAGGGCTTCAATTGTTGTGAAAGTCACCTGGGACCATATCAGTGCAATGATGACCTAAGATGAACAATGACCTTGGGTCACATTAGTGCAGTGACAACCTAACTGATGTTGCATGAAGCACAACTTTTATAATGTCAGGATACTCCAAAGAGTACAGCTTTGTAATCGGTCTATATTTTACTTGATACTCATTCATATAGTTACCTTTTCTCTGGCGACATCATCACTAACATCTCCCTTAATATCTGTGGCCTCATTGACATAGAGACCACTGTAGACCTCAATAGTAGCAGGGGTGCCTCCATCCTTGTCTCCCTCAGTGTCGCGCCGCCTTCGTCTCACAGCATTATTCTCACAAGTTGGAGGCTGAGGATCAACCAATGTTTATATTATTTTCAGAAAGAAGACCACATCATATTGCCAACTTTTTAGATTATGTCAAAACTGAATGTGGCCTAAATGCGTTGTGACCGGATATATAGCAAAACTAGTGAGTGAAACTAATACTGCAACATGACAGTACAAGTTCAATAAAATGAGTAACATTTGTAATAACACAACACTGAGCTTTTCATGTTGCAGTGAGAGCCAGTTCATGCTTCTGAAGTTTAGAACAAATGCACAGTAAACATAAATATGAAGTATGAAGACAATGAATGACTACAAAAACATTTCCAAAATGTTGAACCACTATGAGCTTATGATTATTACCATGAGGGAAACCAACAGAAGACAAGAACATTCAAAAGTGGTTGCATTTACCTCATATATGTAAGCAATATTCAAACAAGTCTGTCACATTGATATGGAATTGATAGAAAGAAATATGGAAGCTCTCACCACATCATCACAGCCGTGGTCTGCCTTGATGCAGAGCCGCACATTGCACTGGTAGTACACAGATGCTGTGTACGGGAACTTATGTGCCTGGAAATGCACAGATGCTGTCGTCTTGCTGGGACTGTACTTAAATTGGCCCATGATCTCTCCATCTATCGGGCACCTGTAAAAAAATGAACGCCTATCATCAGAGTTTGCATTCAGTATGATAAATTTTGAACATGAACATAAATTTATTTTAACCCCAGTAGATAACACAAGAATTTATGAACATTTTGAATTAGATTTCCACAGAAGTACTTACACAGGCCTAGGTTATTAAGAAAATCTAACACAATCTTTCCTTTGTTGCATCTTAAAGAAGAAAGAAAGAAACAAAAACGTTACTGAACTTATGCATGGGAATACAGAACTGTCAGATTCAAATTTACATTCACCTGTGGAATGATTTTTAATGTTCACTTACTCCATCTTCATTTACAAGAACAATGCCCCACTTAATGGTACCTGCACCTTGTCGTGGTGGTGGGGCTTGAGTACCTCAGTGATCCCATGAGCTATGCTGGCGGTAGCATAGCTACTGGTAGGGGGAGAGGTCAGACTAAGACAGGTACCCTGGTCCTCCAGGTTGGGGGTTGGTCGCAAGGCTAACAACCTTGCACCGTAAAAAGGAAGATGTTTTGAAACCTCGATCAAAGCCTCCGACAGACCTAACAGAGAACCGAATGGAAGAGGAGGATTGAGGAGGCCATGGATCGAACACGGACCGGAGAGCCATAGAAGAAAAAGAAGAAGAAGAAGAATTAGGACAAACAAAATGAATCCTGTGACTTCCAAAAATCACATGGGTACTCAGTGTTGCCACCAAAGAAGAACATCACAGACAGCAATTTCTTTCCCACACTTTCCCTAACTGTACCAGAGTATGTTGACGAGTTCTACCATGGTTCTACCTTCATCAGAAGAGCAATACCATCCTGTTAATCAAAAATTCAAGCCAGCTGAATGGAATATGTACAGAATAGAAGGTGTATGATGTGATTAGTAAGACAAAACTCACCCGTCCTCATCAATGAGTCTCTGCTCACCCCAGCCAAGACCATCCCTCACAAGACAGTCTGATATCCGCAGGCCAAATGCATCTTGCTGGTCGATGGAGATGACAAGAGTCAGAGGATCACCAATTTTCACATTCTCTGCCACCTCATGCAGAGATGGATCTCCATAGAAGATCTTCATGGTGCAGCCTGGCATGGGCGCTGTTGCTGTCAGTGGTGATGCATCCATCATGCTATATTTACACATGTCAGTGTTACCAACAGACTACTAATTTTTAGTTTGCATAATTCGTCATGTCAATATATTTGGTCAATTAATGTATTTAGGACAATTTAAATTAAGGTTCATACATGTGATGGCAGTTTATTCATACAGAATTGCAACTATTTCAGTTAAAAGTAAAATAAAGTTGTTTCGCCACAGGCCACGCAGGCGCTTGGGGGAGAGGTGGCATAGCTCCTACCCATTCATAATCTTAGCACTAGATATGGGCGAGTGGTCAGCATCATGCCCCGGATGTGCTTTACCCCCACAAAAGGGCCCCAGAACTGGTCTGATGCAGAGGAAGAATCCTCTGCCCCTGCTGAGAATTCAACCCTGGTTGTCCGGTCTGTAGTCAGTCACTATACTGACTGAGCTATCCCGGCTCCTGCAGCTACAATTACGTGCACAAAACTGGAATTTAAATGTTGAAACATTGAAAATTTAAGAGTGTGTCATGATGTCTTAATTTGCATTTCCTTTGCATCAGGCGACTTCCAATCGCAATGGGTTTTTTTTGTGTAAATATCTGTAAATAAATAATTGTGTGGTATGGTGGATAACACTCCGCTTTGCAGTCTGTAGGCATGCACTTTAGTCTGCTGCAACCAGGAAATGGAGATACCATATCAAAATACACCAAGACAAAATCAAGGAAATTAAGACTTATTCCTTTTGGCCCCAAAATTTCAGTTGCACTCTTCCTTGGTGATTCTCACCTGACATTGACATCGTTGGTGATGGTCTTATCTTTAGTGGTGTAGCGACACCGGATGTGGAAACCACGGCCCTGATTCGTCACCAGCTTAAGATGGGGTTGCACTACAATTGTGTTGAAGTATTCAATGCCCCCATCAGACTGCAAAGTCACAAACAACAAAATTAGTGTAAAAAGTTGGAAAAGGATGTACGGCCACCAGTATCTGAATGCAGCAATTGGATGCTGATGGCCTCCTCCTTAAGTCCCCGCTTTTGATAGCGAATGCAGGTGATGAACACTTCGATCGCGTACGCGGGGAACGGATCTTTCCATCACACAAATGGCACGCGGACTGACTGCCACACAACGCGTGTCGAAACCTTTCAAGAACGAGAGGTGTGATGGGTGCCACTTCGCTGGCTGGCTTTTCTCTACAACATTTGGTCACCACCGTTGCATAAATAACTGTTTATTGCTGGAAGTCTGGGACCCTTAGCGACAAGGTCGTTCTGTAAACTGGTTCCCAGAGCATTTTCAACAGCAAACACAGCAGACCAGGAGAAAATCGCTGCTAGGAATTCGTTAAACGCGCATGCGCAAGATTTCGCGGTGAGTGACGACCGATCCTAAAAGCATTCGTTCCACAACCACTGAACGAACAACAGACGACAGGCTTTCATGTGTTCTAATGGGTACAGCTTTAAGATTACCTCACAGTGGCACAGTGATTTAATCTAGAATATTATCACAACACCCACAGAACACATTAGAGGTGCACTCACTACACGCTACTCTTAACTCCTTGATGTTTTCAGTCTGTGTATAGTAGCATAACTCTCTGGCGTGTCACACTTCCCACCAATAGCAGCCCTCTAGTCCACCAGGCAGTAAACATTCTCCCCCGCACCGCACCAGAAACAACTACCCCTTGCAGGGATTTTCTCGTCATCTGTGGACAGTATATTTTCGGTACATAAAAATGTAAAATGAATATTGGTAACATTCGAGGTTATCACGGCGGTGAGAACGAAAATTGTTCTAGCGCATAGGCCTACTGGAAGTTGTTAAAATGTCAAGACATTTAAACGTTAATTCTAGAAGGTCAGGTAAGCATCCTACACGCCGGTCACTGAAACAGCGACGACCGTTTGATATTTCTTAAGAGCTGCAAGTTTACCCACCTCCAGATCTGCTTTTACCTCACATTATCATCTCACTTATTTCCCGTTACACAGCCAACAAGGCCGTAGGTTGGCAGCGAGTTGAACTGAAGTAACAAATCCGTTGTCTGGCGCCATATTTGTAAGTAGCAAGTCGCCTACGATTTTCCCACTCATACTAGCAGGTAATATTCAGTCCCTCCCAATTTCTTATCCGGGAGATGATACAAATTTTTACTTTCAATGCAACAGATGCTCTGGGATTGCGATAAAACTGCTTCGTTGTAAAACGTCGAACACATTCAGCCCATCTGATCAAAATCTAAGAATGACCAACTTTGAAGGCAGATTTTTCTTCTAGACGCATCACCCTTTATAATATTCTGTAATCACCAGAGTTTGAAGGGCCCCGGTGCCTTCATATTAGAATTTCTGGCCCAAGTAATAGGGCTTTATTCTAGTATACGGGCGTCTTACATCCTTCTGCACTAAACTCTTTGCCTATTGTGTGGGTAAAATACATGGCTACTGAATATGGTGGTCCATGTTGCTACCAATGGGCTCGAAGACTTCTTTCGCCTTTCTCCTTTACAAGGCTGTTTCTCCATTCCCTCTTCTCCGAACCTCGTGTCAAAACGTCACTTCATCTCCTTTCCGTATAACCACCGAAAATCCTCCTGAGGTGTTCATGTCGAGAAACCAGCTGTATTCCTCTCGTTTTTGAACGGAATAAAGAAGGAACTACAATAAATGTTAAGAATTATAACACGTATTAAGTTTTAAGGCCTATTAAGCTACTATAGACATGGTAATTGAAAAAATAGTCACCTCACTCGGAATCGAAATCCAGCCGCCCGCATCACAGGCAAAAACATCTTCATGAGGACAGACAGGAGTAATTTTGAAAAGGCTGTTTCTTGCCACAGCAAAATGTGTGCTGTCCTATTAACCACAAGTTGGTTTCTTTTTCCCTGTGTTCGAACCCATCTCATAATAAAACGAGACTAATTCAACAGCCCTGCACACACAGACAGCAAAGTGCTTGGAGAACTTTCACGCAACGGTCAATGAAACTGATAAGGCAACTGTGAAAGTGAAAACTCTGGTCCACGGATCGACCAGTCTTTTCCAGTGGTTTGCTATCTGGCGACGACATTTTAAACCCTCCTTTCACTGTCGATTGACTTCCGTCATAACGTTAAGAGATGATCATAATTAAGATTGCCTAATCTTCAGGTCTAAAATGCACCTTCATCTCTATAGAGATTCCTCCGGAGCTGTTAGTGGATAATCTAATGCAATGGGGGTCTACTCAATTTGCGTAAGATGTTCAGTTAGTGCTGTAATACACATCATTCTTGCCACACGTAACTTTCGTGGTTTGAGTTTCCATGTTTGCAAAATGCGAAATGGACACATTCACGTTCTTTCCTTCCCGAAGACCAGTCCATCACTGCCAGACACGATCTAATAATATTGCAGGGATTGGAGGGGATGGGAGGGGGAACCTTTCGCAGAAGAACTCCCGATGACAATGACAGCAGCTGTAACATCTTCATGCCCAGGACAAGACATCCCGATACTGAGCTACACATTTCTGGTAATCGTTAGAAACGTCGATAGCTGGTACATCAGTCTGGCTGGACAAATTCGAATTTGACTTGCACTTAGTATCAAATGTTTCGTAGTTTCTCTCAGCCCCTCCATTCATAAGCCGTCAAAGAAGGGCTCAATTCCCTGATCCACCGTCTGTCGCCTGAAGGGCTTCCTTAGTTCCCTTCGAACGCTTCCAATCGGTCGCTTTCACTTCGCCATTTATCTTCACGGTCGTTTCTTTATTAAGGCCATATCTGGTCTACTCACTGAGAATGGTAATATGGAGGAATCGGTCGGTACTACGCAGCTGACCCCAGAAGAAACAAATTTCAGACAAAACTCTGCACCGAAATGTTACCTCCAGACTCCACACTAAGTAAAAGCAACAG